GTGATTGGATTAATATGAGACATATTTCCATCTCGATTCCCTCACTAAGGAAATTGATAATAGATGATTTGCCAACCTTTGATTCTAGAGCTTACTGTTGGGGCTGTGAAATTAAAATTGATGCTGGAAGCCTCATATTCTTTAAGTACAGTGGTTATCTAAGTAATGATATTCATCTTATTGAGGTTTCATCTTCAGTCAAGGCATTACTTCACATTCCAATGGTGCAAGAAGCACAAAACCCACTAATGTATTCTCGCCTTATCAAGCTCTTTCTTCAGCTGAAAAATGTCAGTTCTTTGGGAATCTCTGGTTGCACCATTGAGGTAAATCGGTGTGCATTTTTACTGTTCATTTTTCTTATTCTTTGTTCCTTTTGACATTTCTTTGTGGTTTTCATCGTTATCGCACATTTAATTGTCACACCAATTCTGACCAAGTAAAATCTGATTTTATTCTTCTTTGTTGCCAGTCCCTCTTTTTCCGTGAAAAGATGCCAAATGACCTCCCGGAATTTCAGAAGCTGACTCGTTTAGAGTTGAGCATGCAGCTTGGCGTACATTGTGGTGGAGCATTGATGAAATTTTTACTGCACTTGCCAAATTTGGAGTCTCTTAATATTTCTAAGGCAACACTGTGGCACCTTTAAAGTTCCATCATAACGTTTTGCTGCATATACTGAGGAAAGCATTTTTCTGTTATTCAGGGACTTGATCCTGCCATGTACCTCACTGAAGATGATTGGACACCCAAATCAGCAGCTAAAAGTTTCATGTCTAGCCTCAAGACTCTGGTCCTCCGATGTTTTCGTGGCAACAGTACCGAAGTTTGTCTGTTGGGATACTTCCTGAAACATGCATCTTCCTTGGAGAGAATGATTGTGTTTTGTCACAAGAGCCCTTTAGATGATTCAAAAGAGCAGGAAGACATGAAGAATGAGTTGCAATCACATCCAAGAGTATCAGAATACTGTATGATCGTGTTTTTTTGAACTTCATGCAAATGTAAGTTCTTTTTAATGATTCTTTCCCAAGCTGTTTTCCTTTTTCCTGTTGCATACCTGGAAAGAATTTAATTTTCTTAAATTGACATGGCTATTTATCTTTTGTGTTGTGACAATGTAACTGAAATAATAGGAATCATGGTTTGGGGTGGAATGGAGACAATGCTGCTACAGTTTTTTATTATTTTTTTAATCAACTGCTTCCCAAAATTGGTTATTATGCCTATTATATTGAGGATGGGATTGATTCTCAGTGTCATTTTCTTTTATATTTCTTGTCTAAAAATATGCTTGTTATAGAATAATGGTGTTTCAACATGGGGAACACATTTTTTTTTTTCAGACTGTATCCACAAACTTTTGTTTGCTTCATTGGCTACTATGACAGAAGTACGTTCAATGAATATAGTAAAAGCATGCTACGTCCTCTGGTATTAACATGATTTGATGCATCGTTAGAAGCTTATGTACGTTGGATGTTTCTGTTTATTGAGAGAGAGAGAGAGAAGAGGGGAGGGGGAAAGGGAGGGAACATTATTCGTAAATTATGGAGCATTGTGTAGAATAATATTAGTCAACCCATAACTATTTCGTAGGATCGATCACTTGTTTAAATCTCGTACCTTGATCACATACCTTTATTGGATGATGTGGTAAATGATCATCTCCCGGGCATAGAAAATAGTGATGATGAGAATGGAAGAATTTATTGATAACATTTTGCAATATTGCTCACCATCTCTCAATGAGCATGGCCTTGCACTCATGGAAGTGTAAAGGGGAAACACAATCATTGTTTTACTCTTTGCTTTTGTTATCCTCACTGCATATATGGGAAATTTATGATTACTTGAGGGAGTTGAGGGGTGCAGTTATACTCCTTTCTTTCCCCTCATGGAGTATAATCTGCTTTCACCGAGTCGTCTTTTCCTGGCTCTTGAAGTAGGGAAGTCAAGTATACATAATTGAACAAATGTGATGCTTTCTGCAGTTTAGACTGATTAGAGTAGAATTCATTAGAATTGGTATTCTACCCTTGTCTTATGCTGCTACATCTTGTGCTGCATGCCGGGAAGATATGTCTAGCAGTATAGATGTATAAGGAAACTCGACTAGAAAGATTTTTGTAGCTTTTCCGCGTTTATTTTTCCTTAGTAATTGTATAAGATGCTGTACATATTCTGGAAGTTTGACCGTTTTCATTGGTTTGCAGTTTGTTTCAAGAACTGGCATTCTTCTGCAAGTGTAGCTGTTGGATCTCGATGGAGTATGATAAATAGTTTTGCAATGGAGTCTGTGATGGTGACCTTGCAGAGCCTCAAAAGGCAATTTCTGACAAATTTTGATGGAAGCTCTTAGCATGAGTGGTTTTGAAATTTGTTTTGTTGGGGTTAATTTTGGCAGCTGGTATATGTTAAGATAGGGTTACTACTGTTGTGTAGATCATTTGAGGGTCCTGGTTATAGCAAATAGAAATTAGTCTGCACAGGTTTTACTGATCAGTTGAGATGCGCAGTGGTCTACTTTTGAACTGTTTTTGGTTGTTACCGTGAAACATGCATAAAAGTGCTGCATGTTCGAACCATTGTCAAAATTTACAGAATATTAATGTATTTTGGTGGAAAAGGTTTGTCGTTCGTAACGACTTTGCCGATACACGTGATGTAGCATAAATGTTGTGGCCTGTGAAGTCGCGTCCTCAATCTGCTCTTGCTGGTTTCACAGCTTTTAGGATGGTTACAGATGCATCTGCCAAATGCAACCGTGGAAAACCCGGCTGGATGATGTATTTTCAGCAAGGTTTACAAATCCCACCACCATCCATCCATCCATCCATCTTTTTGTCAAGGTATAAATTGGTGAATGACGCTGTACAGCTATCCGAAGCCAGTTCAAAGCCATCATCCAGATATCCTATCGACACAAACCCAAAACCCAAGTAGGTCAAACGCACAAACCAAAGAAACACAGAACATAACCTGAGCTGTGGGAGAGGCAGTTGGGACTTTTTAAGCATTGAATGAATGATGGGACAAGGGCAATAAACTAGTGGTAGTATTTGATTCATTATTGATTGTATCTGATGGCATATATCCCTGGAATATGCTGTTGGATATCATATTACTACTTGTTTAAAGGACGGTCAACTGCTATACTGTAGAGCATCAGATTTTTAATAAGCTGGATGCGCAGCTGAAGGACTATAAAAATATTTTCTTCTGATGTTAAAGTCCATCCTAAAGCACTGCACGAGAATTGCCATGATTGAAAACATATCTTGTGCAGAGATTCAAGCTAATGATGCTATACAGTATATCTCTAGCTCTGGATTTCGACTATTGTCAAATGATTAAAGACAACAAACCATGCACACGCTAACAATTGATTGGGGTGTTTAACACCTGTCATGTACATACTGACAATAATCTCATTGGACATTTAACGACACTTCCAAGAAAACATACGCCAGCTTATATACTACTCCATCATCATCATCATCATCATCATCATATCGTATCATATGTTGTCGTTGCCGTAATAAAAAAAAATGAAAAAGAAAAGATAATAGATCGAGGGGGACCATTTAAGCTCGCTTTGGTCGTTTCCTTTTCTTTGCCTTAATTACCATGACAGGATGTGCCTAATAGTCCCTGCAACCTAACTGAATCCGACGACCAAACTAGTTAGCTGGCCAAAAGAATATGAAATGATAGTAGTGATAAGGAAGGATCATCATGTTTCCGGTCGTCCCCCGTTCTCGACGTGCAGAAGCGAGACAGATGTGCGGATCTTCTTCTGGCGAGGATGGGAGTCGCAGCAGCAAGAAGAAGGCTTTTTTTTTTTTTTTTTTTGGTATATTCCTTGTAGGCCTGCGGCCATTTCTAAACTTCTTTGAGATGATTGTAGGAGCTTTTGCTTACCTGGTTTTGTAAACTCGGGTTAGACTTATTTATTTAATATTACTACTATCTTTCGTACCCAAAAAAAAAAAAAAACGAATTATTTCTTGAAAATTTGTTCTCGTGTTCTTAGGACAGGCTGCACAGTTTGGAATAGTTCAAAAATGAATATAAACCCAATCAAAACGTCGCTGGACCAACAGAATCAACAAAACAAACGTAGCAAAACAGAAAACTTTGGCTGGCTTGCCGTCATTCTCTAAGGACGGCGGTCGGTGTAGTTGAGGAGCATCCTTGTTAACCCAGCCCTTTCTAGTGAAAGCTACTTGACTTTTTAGTCACTTGGTGTGTTTGGATTGCAATTTTCTAGAGCTTTTGTTAAAAAAAATTTACTGTAGCGTTTTGATACATGTGAGATTAAAAAATATAATCAATAAATGTGTTCGCGGAAAATGTAAAGATTTTTTTGATGGAAATTGCCTTTCCGAACAAGGCAGCAATTTTGGTCTCTGAAGTTTTAGCAAAATAAATGTAGTCCCCAGTGTTTGATATATGGTGCAATTTTAATTCTTAAAGTTTCGGCAAAAATACGTTTACTCTGCAATGTCTGGTATGTGGTTCAATTTTAATCCTCAAAATTTCGGCAAAAATAAATCCGATCCCCAATTTTACCTATTTGGAACAAATTCAGGATAATTGACCAACGTTCCAAAATTTGATCTTACCTAAATTTTAAGGACTAAAAGGTGCATGCATGCTAATAATTGGGAATTAAATTAATTATTGTCAAAACTTTGATGACTAAAATTATACAAATACCAAACGTTAGGGACTAAAACTGCATTTTCCCCTTGTTTTAGCCAGCCTCCAAATACCCTCGACGTTCCCCCGTTCTTTATCTGATGATGATGAAGGAGGAGTCTTTTTCACATGAGTTATTTGTTCACATTGGTACTGTACACTTAACTGCACTGGGATTTCCAAGCGCACAACGTTGGTAAAAATGCACAGAAACAAATCAAATCCCAAATACTACTACTTTTTATATATATACTATACTTTATATAATAATAATAATAAGTCTTGAACTTGGGGTAGTTGTTATACCGATGCCGTATTGTACTTGCTAGAAAACCTGTTCGGTGCAGAAGTCCATCTACAAGACAACTCTATTTGCACAGGTAAGTTGTGTAGGCTTTTCTTACACACGAGTCACAGCCGGGGACAGCTCGCCTCTTGCTGGCTTCTCTTTGCCATATACGGAGGTCCAAGCTCCGATCTTTCGGCCCTTTCTTTGAAGTTGTCAACTCGGGATCTTTCATTTCTGAGATTTGTCAACTTTTTGGTCAAAACCCACCGTGATTTTCGCCTGAATAGTGAAAGAAGTTAGTGTCTCTGTACAAGCATGATGTCTTCATTGAAGCAGCCAGTAGTACATTTCCATGGGTCCGATGCTTTCCGGCCACAGTCTTCTGTACCGTCAAGGCGGTTCTCGGTTCTTCCGCCGCTTCCTGCACTTAATACTCGTTGGAGTAGCTCTGTTGTTTCACTGTCAAAGCCCCTTTTTGTTTCCAAAGTTGAATCTTTTTCTCCTTTAGGGACCCTGAAAAGATCTTCTTCAACTGGTGACGCTGGCGATAATGATCATGTTCCGCAAAAGCGTGACTTGATTATATGTAGGCTTATGAGGCTGATAAATCAATCCCAATTGATGACTCGCAAGCGCGATCTGAGGCAGCGAGGAGGGTGAAAATTGGGGTTTACTTTGCTACATGGTGGACTTTGAATGTGATTTTCAATATATATAACAAGAAGGTTTTGAATGCTTATCCCTTTCCTTGGTTGACCTCAACGCTTTCATTGGCTGCTGGCTCTCTGATCATGCTCATTTCTTGGGCTTTAAGGATTGCTGAGACTCCAAAGACCGATCTCGACTTCTGGAAAGCCCTTTTCCCAGTAAGAAACCAATTTAGGGTTTTATGTACTCTATTCCTCTTACTTTTATTATATTGGTCGTTCCGTTCTTCATTACTCTTTTGTTTTATGATCTGGGATTGGTTGAATAGTGGTTTTCTGGTCTGGATTGCTTCATTTGTTGGAAAATGTTGTCTGCATCTTGCGTAGGAATGGTAAATTAGGATTTAAAAGGCTAATTAGGTAATACGAGTTCGCTTTATCTTGGGGGTGGGTGATCTTGGTTTTTTTTTTTTTTTTTTTAAATATGTTTATGCCTGGCTTGTTTTGGTTTGGTGATGGTTTGTGTTTTATGTCTTTAGGTTGCTGTTGCTCATACGATCGGGCATGTGGCAGCGACTGTGAGTATGTCAAAGGTAGCAGTCATTTACTCATATAATCAAGAGTGGTGAACCTGCGTTCAGTGTCCTGGTCTCAAGGTTCCTGTTGGGGGAGACATTTCCGGTGCCAGTTTACTTGTCATTGATCCCAATTATTGGTGGTTGCGCACTGGCTGCTGTTACTGAGCTGAACTTCAACATGGTTGGTAAGTGGTTTCTTGCTATTGTTAGATGTTGTTAGAGTTTCTTTTTCTTTTGTTGTTCTTTGTTTTTTCTGTTTCCTCATTTGTTGTTGCTTTTATTTTTTTTTATTTTTTATAGATTGCTAGTTCAAGGAAGCTACACTTATTTTATCCTAAAATTTAGTAAAATATTTACTGATAACCGTTTACGAGGACTATGTTGACAATCAGATTACTTTTGCTGCTGTTTATTTTCCAGGAAAAAAAAGGATGAATAATAGTTCAGTGTAGTAGCAATGTCTCTTGCAAATTAATCACTGCTATTATGTATTTCATTAGCAAAGGTTTGGTAGCCAGTTTCATAATCCTATAATTTCTTCGAGTAGTTACAGTTCTCTTCAATTAGATAAAGGTCACAAGGAACTTAATATTATTTTTAACCGCTAAGCAGGTGGTGGGGTATTATGTTTTAGTTAATATCAACTACCTGTATGATTTTACTTTTCCTGATGCTTTAGTGCTGTTGTTGGCTTATGTCTTCAGGTTTTATGGGGGCCATGATATCGAACCTCGCTTTTGTTTTCCGGAACATATTTTCCAAGAGGGGCATGAAAGGGAAGTCTGTTAGCGGAATGAACTACTATGCTTGCTTGTCTATGATGTCTCTCTTAATTCTCACACCATTTGCTATTGCTGTGGAGGGACCACAAGTGTGGGCACTTGGATGGCAAAAGGCCGTCTCTGAAATCGGACCCCAGTTGATTTGGTAATCACGTGAAACATACCAATTCTGGTGTTTCTGCACACATTGTATGTGAGGACTGGCTTATTGAATTACAGTGTACTCCAATGTACAACCTGTAGTTGAACTGCAATGATTTTTAACATGAATTTACCTAATATTTCATACTTTGTTCTGTACCTGAGTTAATCGAGGGGACTATCGGAAAAAAATACTGTTTAAATACTTACGTTTTGAAAACTTGTTCCTATGAGGAGCCTTGAAATACTTGGAGAATGTGTTGATGTGGATGGATGCTTTATTGTATCTATCTGTTTTAGATGATGAATTGCACTAGATAATATCATGATGTAGGAACCATAACATGGATGGCATTATTTTACTTTGTCATCTAACATCTAGTGTTGAATTTTTTGCCTCTCATGTATTTGTGCCTTAAGAGCCATACTGCAAGTTATGCTGTCAGGTACCATACTTGATGATTTCATCTCTAGGGTTCACATGAAGGTTTGAGTGCCTGTATAATTGCCTTTGTGGTCTTTGTTTATTTTATTTTTTGTGATCTTTCCTCCCTTTCTCACCTTCATTGTTACCCTGTCATTTTTCTAAAGACAAAAAGATATTAGCAACAGTTTGGATCCATTTCAAGGGAAACTTTGCATCTTTTGGTCTTTTGTAGGCGTGATTATATGTTTTTTCATGGGTTCCTTTCACTGATGTTCTGTGGTTACTTGTTCTATAGGTGGATGGCGGCTCAGAGTGTATTCTATCACCTCTATAATCAGGTGTCTTACATGTCACTGGATGAGATCTCTCCTTTGACATTTAGCGTTGGAAACACTATGAAACGTATATCTGTTATAGTGTCATCCATCATTATCTTCCATACGCCTGTCCAGCCTGTCAATGCTCTTGGAGCTGCCATCGCCATCCTTGGAACCTTCTTGTATTCACAGGTAATGATTTGATTTTTGCTTGTGTGTCACCAAATGGTAGTTTTCATTTACTTGATATCTCTATCAAGTAGCTGACTTCAGGGTGTGTTTCTGGATGACTTTTGTGTTGTCCATATGCGTAGGTCAAACTTTCTTGTAATAAATTGCACTTGGCCTCTTGAGATTTATGGAATTTTGTTTCGATACCTTGTAAAAAAGGCATGTTCTTGAGTTGTTAAGTTTAAGAAATATCAATAATCTTGAGAAGGATGCAAGTACTGGCAACTGAGAGCATGATTGTTCTGGGGATGCTTCTAGGACTAAGAGTTCAATATAACACTCAAGTAAATAAATCAAGAGAAGAGAGGAGAAAGAAATTCCAAAACACCAGGGTAATTACTATCCTGGTTGATTTAAAATATCATGGTTGTATGCTTCTTTGTTTTTCCTCATTGTGCTCTTTTGTTCTTTTCTTTTTCCCCTCTGTTTTACATGCTTTACTTTTATTTCTTTGTCTGGGTATAGTTTCTTACTTTTTAGCACACATGAAAGTCATGGTTAACCGTGTTTCGTTGCAAGAATAGTTGACATAAATTTTGCGTCCATGCTCCTGATATTGGTGGTTGCATTGCCGGGATGATGAAAGAAAAGTTTGTAGCTATGTTCGTGTTTGAAGTAGTAGAATTACCATCATTTCACTAATACTTGTGCATGTCAGAAACAACTATTTGTTGTTTCTTGTTTAGTGTAGTTACTGGCAGTGCCAAACATAGTTTTTGCTTCTTTCAACTAAAACAGTCTATTCTTTCTTTATTTGAAGTGATGCTGATGTTTGCTTTGAACAACTGCCTGTATTGAGCGACTTTTAACAACAGCTGAACTTTTTATCAGTCTGTTGGCTATCAGTAATTATCTTGATATTGTGTAGCAATTAATAGACTTAGCACCCATTTTGCTGATAAACCTTAGAAATGATAAGATGGGCAGAGAAAGAACTGCTTCTTAGAATGATTGCTTCTACTTCCTGTCACAAGTGTGCTGTTTAGTATGTTGTACTGTTTTTATACCCCTGCTGCCTGCTGCAGTATTCTTTGTTCTATTCCTTACAGACTTGTTTTCACGTCTGACAGGCAAAGCAATGAGGAGCAACTTTTGAGTCCAACCAGGCAGCTTAACTTACAGTGGTGGTGATTTCAAGTTTTGTTCTTCTTAAGGTGTTGATATGGCTTTCTTATTGAGTTCCATGAAGAATGAGAACAATCAGATGAGCCAGTAGCTTTACATGTAGATAACAATAATTGTGAACTAAGATACATTAAAATCTTATACAGGTTAATTAGGCAGGTAATCCCTGTTATTTGCATGTTGAGGGGGAGAATCAAGAACAGCACGAATAAATAGTGCAACAACTGTGCCCATTTAAGGGACGAAAATGTTGATGATTTGGATCATATGCAGTCCATTTCAGCCATTAAAACCGGACCTAGTTTGTATTCATAGTACTAGTATTGACAATGGTTGTCTATAGCTCTTTGGAATTTATGATTCAGAGGGGAACTATGCTTTGATTTGTTGCCTATCAACTTAATTAGTCAAAATCACCAAAATTTTGGATGTGCTGCTTCTTTTGGCTCTCATTTGGTGTTGGGCATGACTCAAAAAGATAGGTGCAAAAATATTGGTGGCATGTTTTTGTCTGCTCGATGTGCCATGGTCATTGTTTCCTTTAAAAGCATCATTTGCTTAATGTCATTTTCATTTGAAAAAAATTTGCCCTCTGCTTCCAGGTACTCAGGCAAATTGCTCCTTGTATGTTTTACAAAGCCCGAAGTTTTTACATTGATTATCATCTTCAACCAAAATACAAGTCTTGGATGGTTTGTCAACAAAACTGTGGCAAGAAAATCTTGTAGTCTCATAACCTATGGCTACTAGGTTGTGCTTGTGCCATTAAGTTTAAAACAAAGGCTCAATGAACACAGGACACCACGAGGGCACGGAACCTGGGGTAAAAGTTGGCATTAGCTGTGAGTGAGGCCGACAATTGTTACGTCTCAGGTGAGCTTAACTAGGTTAGTTCAAGGTACAGATGTCCTTCAACTTCTTTTTACTTGTAGCTAAGGTGGATTTATGTGTTTCTAAGTACGCTGCTGAGATTTGGATTAAAAAACAATCCTTAATAATTTGATCAAGTGTAATGAATGGAAGACCAAAGGTTCAATTAAAAAATGATTGTACAAAAGGTTTAATCCTGATTAGTTTTCTTGATGAAGTTTATACTTAAAATCTGTACCTTTCCGCTGGCATGGTGTCTACAGACGGTCATGCTCTTTTTCCAATCGGAAGAAACGTTACGAGCTTGATTCCTTTGTTGATGAAGGCCACCGATGGAATGCAGACAAAATCATTTGCAAGATTCTACATGGTATGGACGAAAGCTAACGGAGATGCCGGCCATGGAGGTTCTTTTTTCGTATAATAATCGATTCGGGGTGGTTCCAATTCAGCAATGAGAACTGAAAGGGCCGGAGTTGGTTGGTTGTTTGGTTGGCGGTGCCTATGTTTGTTGTGTAGAGTTTCATTTCAGATTTTTAGTTATCCTCTTTCTGTGAACAAGATTTGTCAGTTTTATACAAGAATTTTGGCATTAGCTGCTCTTGGACGGACTTGGGACTTCGAATTTTGAACCTTATGTTGGTGATAAAACATTCGCGGCTGCGATTCAACGTTTCTGATATCACAGCCGTTATCCAGCGGACCAAGTTCCTTCAGCTTCCAGTAATGACCTTTTGGCGATTAATCCAGCAGTTCTAGTTTCTCGTGTATTTAATTTTTGTTTCCACCATATAATCAGAGGTAAGCTCATATAAGCACTTAAAGCCCAAGTCTCTTTATGCGCTCATACACAGTGCATTTAAGAAAAAGTCCTTTCAATTTGAAAGAACAAAATCTATTGAAAGTGAATTATATATTTCTCAAGAAACTTATTGCATTATGAATGTATCAGTCAATAACGGTACAAAATCTACAACAACATCTCCAGAACAAGTTTCTGATGTATAATAACAAAAAAGTTCTGCTCAAGGTACGACCACTCATCCATAGAACAAAAAGAATGTTCCCTTGGAAGTTGAACTAATTGCTCAACACTACCACTGATGGCACATCTATTTTTCAATCAAAGTTTTTCTTCAGAGTTTTAGATGTTTAATGGCTGTCTGAACATCCTTATCTCCTCTGCCACTGCAGTTAAGTACAACCTTAGCTCCATCAGGAAGAGTTGCACAATTTCTCTAAATATGCCACAGCATGAGATGTCTCAAGTGCAGGGATGATGCCCTCCAACCGCGATAGTCTCTTAAAAGCTGCATAAACATTGGAAGGGAACGTGTCAAGGACAAATACTACAAGGTATAAATAGAACAGAAAGATACCAGGATATAAAACCATCAGAACAAAATATCCTTTTAGCGACAGTAGAACCATCACAAGGCATTAAAAAGCCACTCCCTAGGCTATTTTTCCTTTTAAAAATAAAAAATAATAATAATTTTTCAAGCCAATGTTCAAAAAAAAAAGGTTCATAGGGAGTCAACATTATTATTCCATACCTTCCAACGCCTCCTCATCAGTAACGCTGAAATATTCAGCACGTCCTATGTCCTTCAAAAAGCTGTGTTCAGGTCCAACTCCAGGATAATCCAGGCTATTTGAGATGAGAGAAAATTGTAGTCAGGATTTGTCCCCAAAAACGTTTTCTATCAAAGGAAAATATGCAAGGATAAAGTTGACACTTTTACCCAGCACTAATCGAATGAGGCTCAATTATCTGCCCATCTTCATCCTGCAACAAATAGCTCATGGCTCCATGCAACACTCCAACCTCACCCTTGGTTAAAGTGGCAGCATGTTTACCACTTTCTATTCCAAAACCAGCAGCCTCCACACCAATTAACCTAACATCTTTGTCATCGAAAAGTCATCAAAGAGGCCATGGCATTTGAACCTCCACCAACGCATGCAACAAGCACATCTGGTTTCCCACCCCATTTCTCCAATGCCTGCTTCCTGGTTTCTTTACCAATCACTGCATGAAACTCTCTCACCATCATGGATATGGATGTGGCCCTGCAACGGAACCCAGGATGTAATGAGTTGATTCCACATTAGTCACCCAATCCCTTATAGCTTCTGAAGTAGCATCTTTCAGCGTGGCAGTGCCAGAATGAACTGGCCTAACCTGCAGTTCCAAAATTTGGAAGTCAGAAGTGGCATTACCAGAGACATTGTGGCAATAGTGTGCCTTGTTCAAATTCAATAAAATCAAGCAATGCTATAGTCTCCAAGCCAAAAAAACGAGCTAAAGAGTTTTCATTATGGGTAACTCCACAGTTGTTCAAACTTTAATCAAAATCATTTACTGTGCCTATCACCAATGAACATCGACCAGTCTTTTAATCATGATTCTTGACAATCAAGCTAAAACTGTTACTCTTTTCTATCCAGAAATGTACTCTTCTGTGTCAAAATGGTATGCTTCACAACCATATTGTTTTCATCATTATCATAACGATGAGAACAATGTGAAATCCACAGATAAGAGAAAGGTAGGCTACAGATTGTCACGAACAAGTTCAATTATGCATGACAATATGAATAATTCTCAAAAATGCCTACTAAAAGTACACACACCAGTAAACAACAAAATAAGAGGCAAACCTAAATTTGTGATCTCTAAAGCTGCCCAAAAAAAAAAGAGGCTCTAATACTAGGCAGGAAATGAGATTGTTGTAAGCAAATCGGACAAAAAGACCAACAACAAAGACACAAGAAAGCTCAAAACATGAAGACTGATGGAAAGAAGTTTCAGTTTCGCCACAAGAAACAGTGACCACGAAATTGGACAGAGCTCCAGTATTATAACAAGAGCAATGCTTTCCCATATTAAAACCAAAAGCTGAGAATGCAAGATAGCAGCTTCAATCTGTAATCAAAATGCAGGCTGGATTTTGAAAAAAAAATTTTTTTTGAAGCAATTAAAAACAAAGATACACACCTCAGCTCCGAGCAACCGCATCCTGAAGACATTGAGAGCTTGTCTCTCCATATCTTGAGACCCATGTAAATGACACACTCCAAACCAAACCGAGCACAAACAGTAGCAGTGGCCACACCATGTTGACCAGCTCCAGTTTCAGCAATGATCCTTTTCTTGCCCAACCGTTTAGCAAGTAAAGCTTGGCCAATCGCATTGTTAATTTTGTGTGCTCCTGTGTGATTAAGGTCTTCCCTTTTAAGATAAATATGTGGCCCTTCACCACTGGGGCGTCTATAGTGCTCAGTAAGCCGTTCTGCAAAATAAAGAGGGGTCTCCCGTCCAACATAGTCTCTCAAGATTCCATCCAGCTCGTTCTGCAATCAGTAGATTTTGTCAGTATAAACCTTGTTCTATTAAACAATCACTGAAAGTACACTAATTTCCTAAGCATTGACTCCAATTAGCATCTTTTAAGTCGATCCACAAAATAACCAATTCCGGACAACTCACACAAAAAACGGTACGTGAAAATGATAAATCTGTTTGTGTGTTATGGAAAGAAAAATTGACCTCTCTTCAAGTTGAAAAAAAAAAAAACTTTGCCGTAAAGTCATTAGCTTTTCCATCATTCTCAATACAACAATTAGCCAATATTTCAAACAAATGATGATAATAATTATTTTAAAAAAATCAATCTTTCAAACAAATGAAGGAAATGGCACATAAAATCTGCAAAGCCAGAGCCGGATTCAATTACTAAATTAAGTAAAAACATTAATTAGCAAAACTTAGAAACTATAATCAGCACAAAGCAAAAAAAAGCCTCAAATTTACGGAAATACAAACTGATGAACTCGGAGAAACCTGGAATTCATTATCGGCGAGAGGGATTTGAAGGCATCCTCGAGCTCAGAAAGGGCATACATTAGGGTTTCAGGCACATATTTGCCACCAAATTTGCCAAAGCGGCCAAAGGAATCGGGGCGTTGCAGAATCACTTCTTCCTCCGTAGACGTCATGGTTGCTTGGTGAGGGTGCAGAAACAGAAGGGGAGGTGGTCTTCGGAGAACGGTTGAATTTGCGGGGAGCGATCGTAGAAAAGCGGCGGATGAGGGGCGGTAGGGCTTGGGAAGCGATAGAGGAGTGGCGGCGGTTTCTGGGTGACGGAAGCGGTGGAAAAGGCGCCATTTTAGTCAGGAAATAGGAGGCACATTCGTTTGAAGACGGGATGAGCATTTTGTAGTCAGCGCCTAGCTGTTAAAAAGGACTGTAGTTTGGTAAATACCAGGCCTACAATTTTTTTTTCCTGACGGGGCATGCCGGGTTAATTTTTACAGGGTCCGACTAATTTCACTTCGATCCGGGACGAGAAATCCCATCTCCCAAACACGATAATTACAGACTCAGACCCGAGCACTAAATGCAGCTCCTAAAAGGACTTGCTGAGACCAATCGAGTTGCTCATAAATAACAGATAATTTTGGTGAGAGATAAGAATTGAACCCTGACTCCCACCCTGCCACGAGAGGGCTCAGTGGTTAAATACCACTCCTACATGGGGAGCAATTATTAGTAGTTTCCATAAACAGAAGGCGCAATTCCTTACGTAAGCAAACAATGGTGGGAATACGACCCGGACCTAGACAAAAAATGGATTCACCCACCAACAAATAGCCGCCAGCTAGGTCACAAGTACTTGTTATGTCAAAAATAAGAGGTGTGCAGTGCCCTTGGTTGGGTTCATACTACAGGATTGCTTGGAAAGATGCCGGCACATTAAAACGCCCCCTTTGAACCCATATCCATCCATGTCTAGGATTCGATAGATTCCAACCTAACGTAAGTATATGTATCTGGATGTATGGCGCACCGCTTCGTGTCAAAATCATAACCAGATGCTTTCTCGACTCGATTCAACTCGAATCAACGTCAATCAACAGGCTGAAATAACAGGTAGATTCATGTCAATTATGATTTAACAAGTGGTATAATTAATTACTTCTCATGGACATCTCGATTGGTCACACCACGTCTCCTAAGAAGCTGTTGTCCAGTGCTCGTCAGGGTTCAAGTCCCATGATTATCGTGTTCGAGAGGATAGAGCCTCTCCTCCAGGCCGGTAGGGAATTAGTCAGTCCGATTTATCCGATGACTCGAATACCCCCTCCATCATATCAAAAAAAAAAGTAATATAATTTATTTATTTATTATGCCATGCTTAGTGTTGTGACTACTCCATAAATTTTTTTGAAAATTTTGGCTTGTATCTACCATCAATTTGGATGCAAATCTACTTGCTGATTAAATGGTTTTTTCAATACAAATCATAATTAATAACATAAAAAACATACTAACAAGGATATGCCTATTTATTAATTAGGTTAACATGATCCATATGAACTTGGAATCATTGTTTAAAATTTTTCTTTTATTGCATTGACACTACCAAATACAAAATAGCAGGGATTGCCCTATTTATCAAATGGGTTAAAATGACAAATATGAATTACTATTTGAGATCTTTCCCAGTTGTGTTCGAGTTCTGAATAATAATTAATCGTCGATATCTAATATCCGGGCTTGAAAAAAAACGAACCCATGACAGGAGGTGGTTGCCAATGACAAACCTTTTGGCCATGGGCCCAAACCCTTTCTAGATGGGCCTCCAGCCTGAGACAAGAGAGAATCTGGCCCAAACATCAACAGACGCTGCAAAGTTTAGAGCTACAGAACAAATCATCACAGAGGTCCCCTAAGCATTGGTCTTGCTCTATCTTCATCTTCTTCTTCACTGGGCTCTGCTGCAGACAACCCCTCCTCTTCAACCCTAAACTGTAAGTTCTTGCTCTGTTATTCTCCAACTTCCCTCTAGATCCTTGTTTTGTTTCAAAAAAGTTTAACTAAACACGCTTGGGTCCCATTGTTGTAGTGCTTAGTTTTTGTTAGAAGATTTATTGTCGAACATTTTTTTTGGGGGTTAATTTACAGTTTTTCTAAATGCAGTTTTTTCCAGCATGATTGGTTGTGAAATGTCTTTATTATATACTCGTCATACAGTTTTTGGGTATACATTATGGATTTTATTTTTTGGAAGGGGGGTTTTGGCGGGGTGGGAGTGGTCGGGGAAGGTTGTTAGTTTATCTGTTCGACGAAATGTCTGTTTGATTATTAAGTGCTGGAACAAATTGAAGACCAGGCTTGACCCTTCAGCTAAAGAAGTCTATTTTTAAGAACTTGCAATAAATTTATGAGAAGAAAGCTTGAAGTTTTAGGCTGCTAGTTAATCATTAGCTGGTGAATGAGGTGTTATGTGCTTGAATGAGAAATTGGAAACAGTATTTGGTTTTTCAGGCTCAGATGGCTATAACAGGAAATAGGGTTACTAGAAAGGAGCTAATTTTGAGAAATCATTGAAAGAAACCTGTCGTAGTGAGCTTTATTTCCTAACTTGCACGCTTTCAACCAGATAAGTGCATGAGCAGAGCAGAAAGCTTTCATGGGGCGTCGGCATTCAGAATCTCCTCCTAAGGTTCGTGGGTCTCCACGTAGAAGGAGTCCTTCGCGGAGAGAAAGGTCTCCGCCTCGACACAGGAGTTCTCGCTCCACAAACTCAACAGTGACCGAGAAAACTTCAAATCGTAACAGGTCTCCAAGGCGTGACAGGTCAAGGTCGCCAGAGTCTCGTTCACCTGTGAGAGAGAAACCTTCAATTCGTAAAAAGTCCCCAAGGAGAAGATCAATATCTCCTTCTTCAGCCTCTCCAATCAGAGAAAGACCCTCAAATCGCACCAGGTCGCCCAAGCGATCAAATTCAAAGTCACCTGATAGTCGTTCACCCTCCCAAGACCAAAAGGTTAAAGAGAGCTCAAGCTGAAAGAGAGGCTGAGAAGGGAAGTGAGAGAGAAAATCAGAGAACTCATGGTAAGCGAGGGGATAGAGCTTCTAATAGAGAAAGGGATTCAGAGAAAGTGGCAAATGAGAGAAGAGAGAGACGGTCTGGGAGGGATGGAGTTGATAATGTATCATCTAGATCGAAACGTGATCACACGGTGTCTCCGCCTAATTATCGCCACAGGAGTCGGCACAGATCTAGATCTCCTCATGCTGCTGATAAGAGGGCACGTGATGAGGTGTCTGGTGATATCCATGTCCATTGCTATTTTTATGATTTGTAACTAATGATAGTATGATAATCCCTTTTTTTCACAAATTTAAGGTGCAATAACTTTCTGATCTGTATAAATATATGGAATTAATTTTTCTTTACCTGTTTTCCAACAATAATGTCATGAAGTCAAGATTCCTGGTGTCTTATCAGCCTCCCGACTGCCTCCAACATGGAAAAGATTTTTGGGAGGACTGGAAGATTGAAGAAAATGATCAGACATAACTGTTATCAGAACCTCTACTTAGGCATTTGATTTTTTACCCATGTTCTAGAAGCATAAGTTTTCTTCTTAAAATAAAGAATTATTGGCACACTTTTGCCCATACAGATTAACTGAAAGATTGTTCTTTACTCGTCTACACAGGGCATCAATGCATCAATTTTCTTTTTTGCAATAAATGTGAGTGATGATTTTTTGCCACGTATATCAGTAGGTTTAAAAATTCTTTACTTTATAGGCAGTTCTCTGTAGTTTATGTTGCCGATTCTTTAGGCTTTCTGTTCCATCAGCTCATTTATTGGTTAGATATGTTTTCAATCCTCTCATATTTAGGCATTATGCTACAGCTGACTAGGAAATGTATTTGCAGGGTAGAAGTATCTTAGGGCTTGGATTATAAGCAAGTTGGACAATATATCGCTTTTATACCGCTTGAAGGGATTACAAATGAATGCTTAAGAACATACACAGCTTGAAGGGATATTTTATAAAAAAGAAAAATAGAATTTATGCTGTAAAATTGCTTGGATATGGAGGGGTGTTTGTGAATAGCAAACCTTTAATTTCATTGTGGAGATTGTTGCATTTCTTGAACTTTGAGCGTTTTGATATTATTAAGCATTTGAGCTGATATTTCTTGGTAAAAAGGAATTATTGGTTTATTTGCCTGATCATTACTGTGCAAGTCTCTGTTTTCTTGCTAAATGCAGATATGGGAGAAAGTTTAGGTTTTAACATTATTTCAGCCCTGCTTTGTATTCCTTAAGTTGCATTTTCAGAAAGAGATGTATGTTAATATGCTTATACTTTTACTTTCAGGAAACAAATTCAAGGGGTTCTGATCATCGGTGAGCTCTTAAATTGAACTTCATTCTGTTGTCTGAGCTTTTAATTCATACTTCTGAAAGTCTTATTAAGATATTAAGTGGTGGTGCTATGTATGTACAATATTTCTGCATTTTCTGGCTTTCAAGTTCATATTATCCTGACGTAGTTCATTACACTCAACTTGAGCAGGAATGGAGAAAATGATTCAGTAGCTAAAATGAAAGCCACTGAATCAGCTTTGGAATCAAAAGAAAAGGTAGTATTGGCCTCAACTTGAAATTCTTGACTAATTGATAGCAAACCGGCTTGATGTTTTACTGCCTTTTGTCATCTTCGCTTCTTTGCATTAAAAGAATATATCCTCTTTTTTCATTTTGTATATGTCTAAACTATATGAGCTTTCCTTCATCCCACAGCCCTCAGTTCTTAGTACTATTTGTAAGAATGATTTTTCATATGAACGTTGTAATGCTTATATACAATCTGCCAGCAATTAAGCAGGCAATTCATTTTGGCAGGAAAAACCTTCATTTGAGTTGTCTGGGAAGCTTGCTGCGGAGACTAACCGATATAGAGGTGATAAATAGATTCATCATCTTATTCTGGCAAAACCGTGTTCTGTTTCTTTTTTTGTTTCCTTCTTTAACAAACCCCACCCCCCCAAACAAAAAAAAAAAAAAAACCAAAAAAAAAACCTACAAAGCTTGCATATGTTTTACTTGAGAAAGCAAATAAATTGGCTTTCATTATGCTAAACATCCTACACACACTAGGATTTGCTCTCTGAATCGGGAAAGAGGGCAGGTTTGCTTTCTTCCAGGAAAGGTGGTGAAGTGTTTTGTGACTAAGAATCTGGTTATGTTAGATTGTGATTACTTTTTCCTTCTTCCTTTACTTTCCTCCTTTCCTTACTGAGTGCTACCTCATGTTAGGTGTAACACTGCTGTTCACTGAGCCACCAGATGCAAGAAAGCCAGATATAAGGTGGCGATTGTATGTTTTCAAGGGTGGTGAACCATTGAATGGTAATTTCATAACCATTTTGTCATTTTGATCACCATTGTTATTGGTAATTCTTGAGGTTGGTTTTTTCTGGGGGTATTTTTTTTAGTTTTCTGTAGTTGAAAGTGGGTGAAGGGAACCAATTTCATTCATTTATCAGTTTGAAAAGGATGTTAGAATGTGTGGATATGGTACAGAGTCACAAAATAATGTGTTAGAGTGGATTGGTAGCAATTTATTTTAGCATTTTTGTGGGGCTCTTGCTTGTATTTCTGTAGTTCTTTTAAAGATTCTGATCATATTTTGCTATCTTGTCTTATGTACTTGTTGAGCAGAACCCCTCTACGTACACCGTCAAAGCTGTTATCTTTTTGGGAGAGAAAGGAGGGTTGCTGACGTCCCTACAGACCACCCATCTTGCAGCAAACAGCACGCTGTTCTTCAATATAGGTATTATCCAAGGCTAGTTCTCATGGATGAGTGCTGGTACATGGTTTTCTAGTATATGTCTTGTTATTATTTTAGAATATCCTTTTAATTATTGCCCTTTTTTTGCTTTACTTGCAGGCAAGTTGAGAAGGAGAACCTGATGGTACAGTATCGAAGATAGTAAAGTAAGACTAATGTGTAGCTTTAGATTTTTTACCTTCCCTTAGATGGCAATGATATGCCCTTATAGGACTGATATGTTTTGCCCCTGTCTTGTATAATCTAGGCCTTATATAATGGATCTTGGGAGCACCAATGGAACTTTTATCAATGTAAGCACTTTGTTAGTTATATTAGTTGTCTTTATGTAATTTGCCTTTTCTCTTGTATGGGAAGCATCTACATTTGATTTGTGTTGCCAAATTATGTTTTTACATTTGGTTTTTAATTTGCAGGATGATCGAATTGAAGCTCAGAAATATTATGAACTTTTTGAAAAAGATACGATTAAGTTTGGTAATAGTAGGTAGGCTGCATATCAAGTTATCTTTTTTGGTTTCCTTTGAAATGAAAGTCTGCCTACAGTATCACAGTCATGCTCTATGTTATTGTTATCTTTACTTCTGCATGTATATTTATGTTTTGTGATGCATCCATTTATTTGTTAGTTGCATCCATTGATTTTAAACCGCATACTGGACTGTAGAATGTGATCAAAACAGGTGTCTATCATGAGCTACAGACACTTTGTCTGGATTCCAAAAGTTGTTTGCTTGCTTAATATTTTGAGGGCTAATTTCCCAGCTGGTGTTTATTTGTTGGTTTTCCGTTCTAGTTACCAGTGATCGAAGTTGAGAAGAGTAGACAAAGATCAACCTGTAATAGAAAACAAAAAGGAGAAACTAGAATTTAAGTTGGATAAGGATGCAAGTTTATCTTGTGCTTTTGGGAGTATGAAGTCTATGTATTTAGAATAACTTGATCTTGGCTGACCTCCATGATCATGTGGAAATAAGGGATCCAGTTTTGCAATTTTACCTAGACCTTTTCATCTCAAATAGTTGCCTGGGATGTATTTTCCATATGTTGGACTTTTGTGCTATGAAAGAAGAATGTCATTTTGAACTTTAAAAGGGCAAGTGGAAGCATTCAGCAGCAGGAACGGTGCAAGTAGGTCTTAGCTGATGGAATGTGAAGTGACTTTCTTTTGTTATTTTTGGGCATGGATACTGATCCCAGAAGCTCGTTTCTGGTGCAAACTACAAGTTGTTAAATGTTTCTTGTTTTGTTCTCTTTTAGCTTCATTTACCATATGTATTAATGGTATTATCAAAGTTGGTGCAATATGTGTTACTCAAGGATATGTGCCTGTACATTATTATGGGACGGACAATGCACTCCACAATCTCTCTATATTCCACTTTTGGCCTGTATTGTCATTTGAAGTTAAGTACGAATATTGTTTAATGATCCTGATTCCTGAATGTGTGTTTTGGCAGCCGCGAGTATGTCCTGCTGCACGAGAACTCAACCGGTTGATGCTAATTGATTGGCTTCGATCATGGCTTGTGAGGCCTATTGGTGTGGTTGTGAAGAATTAAGATATGTTGCCTGAGGCTTGCTGGAAGGATGTCCAACTGCTTTCAGTGGCGTCTTGCTGTAAATTTGAGCTGCAAATGTTGCCTGCTAAATTTTGCTCTTTCTTCTGCAGATGTTGTTTATACTTTGTGCTTAATCAGGAGCTGTAATTTGTTTAGCAGCTGCAATTGGATTGATAAAATATTTTCCGGGCACATAACTGCTTCTTGCACCCTTGAGGTGAATTAAGCTTCAGGAGGACGAAGGGTCTGCATGGCTGCGTGCTAACTGCCCCTTCCCAACCCCACCCCCAAAAAAAAGGTCCTTGGCCCCCCTGGCCCAGACTTCTCTTTTCACCGGTCTAGGCTCTTTCATTGGGTTTGTTTGGATTGCTTCATATTTCCCCAATTTTATTTGCTTACATCGAGTGTGTTTGGACAGCCAATTATTTGGCCAAATATATTTGCTGACATCACCATTACAATTTTCAATACACCTTTTTATCTTTCCAATTACCTTTTTATCTCACATACATCACATCACAAAAAGTGCTACAGTAAAAATATTTCAAATAACTTACAATCCAAACACACTCATCATCTTTACAATTTTCAATACACCTTTTTATCTTCCCAATATCTTTTCATCTCACATACATCACATCACAAAAAGTGCTACAGTAAAAATATCCCAAATAATCCCAAATAACTTACAATCCAAACAGACCCATTATTTGGTACACCAAAGAATTGCGAGGGTGGTTGCATCTTTTTAGTGCAAGTGAACGTATTTCCATCCTCCGAATCATTCAATCCATTCTCCTTCGAGAAGGAGGGAGTGTTTGCATTACTGGTGTGTTGATCTATGGGTTTGAAGCGACATATCTATTTTCATAAACTATTTGGAAGAAGTTGGAATGAATAGAGGACGAATTGGTGTTCCTGAGTAGTGTTAAAACGTTTCTATCCTACTATTGAAGTATACGACTTCTTGGTAATCTTTACATGGCAAAGAATGACTAAATGGAGTCTTAGAGTTGGGATGGTTTTGATTTCTGTTATAAATACTGCGATCGTGGCATGATAGCTGTTCGACATCTTGGTATTTTTCTAAATGTTGATGGCACATCCGTCCGAAAGTTCCAATGCAAAGAATACATCTGTTAAATATGAATTAACTTTTTTATATACTGATAATATAGTGATTTTTTTACACTAGTAATTATGAATGTATGTCATATAGGTATGATTTGAATTTTAAATTTGAATTTATGTTATGTGACGATGATTTAAATCTGTTAGTAAAAAAGAAATTATATGCCGGCAGTATATTAAAAAGTTATTCATTAAATATATAGGTTTCATTTATTAGACTATATAATAAATAAATAGTAGGAGTGCAAATAACAAAAAATGGAGTGTAAATAACATTTTCCTTTTTCTTTTGGATAAAAACAATAAATGATATCGGCTAATAGAATTGGTTGTGCCGGTGGTACGGTCCTCCAACAAACACTATTTAACTTTTGCAAGAATTATTTAATCAAATGCAAGAATACATGTAACCACCAGCCACCCCACCAAAAATGCCACGTTTAAGTGATTTGGCTTCAAAAAATTCAAACGGATGTACAGTGCACCTATCTAGTGCGATGGTGGTTCAGCCCCCTCCGAGTTACCTCTGAACCTCCTTAGGTCCACTCCCTCCCCCCTAATGTAGGATAGATTAGATTATATAATAGTTGCCGTCTCCGCAAAAAAAAAAAAAAAGATGCAAAAATACATGTAAATCATTTAACTTTTGCAATAATAGAAGAATATGCCTTGAAAATTACACCAAAAAAAAAACAATTGAAGAATTATCTATTGCATGACTCTTTTTAAACAATTTCAATGAGATCGCTAATCTTGCAAACTACATACTAGTCTTTACATGGAAAAACGTTCTACGCGGTTAGTGATATATGTAAAAATTTTGAAAGAGGGGAAGAAAACAAAGGATCAGGGTCCCATTATGAGCTTTCGAGGATCCAGCTCCAAAAACCTGGATAACTTATCGTGCCCAGACGTAAAGAGTCTTAAAATAGAGCAAACTACCGTGTGGTGTTAATAATACAGTAATTTCAGGTTTATACATTCCTAACAAAGTTCCTTGAAACCATTAATATTGACTTAATATGGTGGACAAACAAAATCTTGCACCTGCTTGTATGCCTCAAATTCCTTTGCTCCAGCGAAGATGAAATACTTATAAAAAGTGGGGCTATCTCCCTCAAAATAGACTCAGCTGCTTAAGTTAGAAGTGCGAGTCTATTATGTAAGATGATTAAGAGAAAGCTAATACTCTGTCTAAGATGTTGTACTCAGTCCACGTCCACTGCACGCACATTTCTACAGTCTCCAGGTAGTCTGCGGTTGTCTGGATAGCTTTGTCACGTCAAAAAGCTCACTGTGGTCATTGTCTTGTCTAACGATGATGTTATGCAAAATTTCAACCCAACTTATTAAAAAATGGGAAAAAGTAGAATTGCTCCATAATGACAGAAATCTTTTGTGCGGCTATTGTCGTGCATAAACAGTAGTGATATCATGATTAACAGATACGTGGTTCTTTCTAGTCTCTTGTTCCACACAGAAAATGTAGCATCCGAAGAAAAATTAATAGGATCCAACGCAGGTTCTATCTAACTGAAATAAGACGCAATTGCAGCTAGCATGAGGAGAATTGAAGGCGCCCAAAAGTTGCTTCAGACGGTCATTAATATTTATTGGCTTCATTAAACAAGTAACACCAGGAACTTTAATTAGCTTTAAAGTGGTACGACAAGAGATTTTTTCTCTCAGGTAATCCCTATTGTCCTCGAGTTTGAGATGTTTTTGTGTCAAAACTGGTCGGACGTCGATGGATTTTACCGTGCACAGCGACCATGCAATTAATTGAAGTTGCATGGCACAGGATCGTAGCGCTTGCATTGAAACGCTGCCTTGGATGGATCGAGAGCTTGGAATTGGAGCATAGGATCCTTATAGTACAAGTCTAGGCATCATTGGATTAATTGCCAGTTGACAGAGATAAGCAATGCAATAATATGACTCTTAGCTCATCAATCTCTGGTCCTTTGAGGTTCTCGAGTCAGTAGTGTAGGTTTAATTGCCAGCTTTGGTTGGTTTATACTAAAACTGCATTAATTTATATCAAAATTCTATCGCTATACACAACTACAGTATAACTAAGAGAGGCCCCATTTCCACCCGCAACATACACGATACAAGGGCTGACCAAATTTATGGTTTTCATTTTATAAGTCCAGATCAATCTTCTCATTTCACCAAAACTGCAAAAATAGAAAAACCGCGAGCACTCGTGCAGTTCTGCATTTGGCCTCTCTTGTCCAAAAGGATGCAATCCATTTTGTGTCTTTTTATACTACCATTTCTATATTCGTTTCCACCCCTTCGCTTCGTTCCGTTTCGTCCCAACTCTCCCCCTCCCTAACCCCCTAAAGATACATCGCCGCCTACTCAAATTTGGGAGGACACACCTTTTCACTGGCTCCCCCATTTCGACGGACTCCCGCGTAACTGTTCACGACTCTACCAGCCCTATATGTACTGTCGACATGCATGGCCTCTTCATCCCCATCATTTTCTCGCCAACTTTCGAGTTTGCACCACCTTATAGTCTCTTCCTTCCGTCTCAGCCTTTTAACGTTCTAAAGAGGCGATGGATAACCAAGATAGATTATCCCCTTTGCCCGACGGTGTCCTGTTCATCATCGTCTCTTTTTTGCCGTTCAAGGAAGCGGTAAGAACTTCCGTGCTTTCAAGAAGATGGCGTCGTATTCCCGTGGGAACAAGAAACCTGGAGTTTGAAGACAGGGATTTCGTTCCTGAAGCAGCGGATTCTGATCAGGAAGCCCGGCAAAACAAGAGAAGGGCTTTTCTTGATTTTGTAGCATGGATTGGAAACTATCGGATTCTGAGGGTCCAGTTAAGTTTGGGTTGGCATTCTCTCACCCCGAGGATCATCGTCTAGAGATGGAGCATTTCGTCGGTTTTGCTACTGATCGTAGAGTTAAAGTTATTGATCTTGATTTTTCTGATCCAGAATGGGATGAAGACATCATTCAACCTCATCAGGCCTTTCTTGAACTGCCCAACATTGATGATCAACACAAACGTACTCTAGAATCTTTGAGGCTGTTTTCTTGCAATCCTCCACGAATTTCGCAGGCATCCCCGAATTTCACTGCTCTGAAGAGTGTTCATTTGGGATGGATTGGGCTGCCTTCTGCTTTTATCAAGAACTTGATGGAAAAGTGTCCTGCACTGGAGACTCTGAGTACGAAGAATTGCTTTCATGCTGGTTACTTCGAGGTTATTGGCCCGAGGTTGAAGACCTTGGTCCTAGAGAAGTGTTCTGGAGCTGGACCTAACATGAGGATGCCAAACATCCTGATTAATGCTCCGAAATTGCGAGTCTTCAAGTATTCTGGAGTGCTGACTACATTTGAGTTTGAAAGGCTGGGATCAATGGAGGAGGCGGACCTTGATTTTGGTCTCCACGGGAATATGGTGAATATGGGGACATTCTTTGTGCGCTCCTAGCTGAAATTGCTTGTGTCAGGACACTGACCATTTGCAGTTATATGCTTCAGGTAACTATTCATATCAAATTTCTCCATCAGATTTGTTTCCATTTGTTTTTTTTTTTTTTCCTGCTAGGCATTTTCATTTGATTCTCACTGCTACTACATTTTAAAACGAGTCATTTACGCTTTCCTAGCAACCGAATACTACTTACGTGCAATATTTGTGCAATATTATTATTATAACTGATCATTGCCGTAGAGGTGGGAACAAAAAAGAGGAAGAAGAAATATCGTGCAATATATGGGCATGCCAAGTGATTCCTGTGGAGGTGAAAAACATTAAAGAATATCCCCTGACAAAAACCTCTAGAGAAAAGTATATATAGAGTAAATACGAAGGACATAAAAATGGCAACAGCTTGGACATTAATAACCGCGAGTTTTTTGGAGTAGTAATTTTGTCACTGAAAAGCCTCCTACTTGCATCAAAATCAGAACTTTTTTGCATGTACTTCTTCCTTATGACCTCCAAACAAGAAGATTCTGGGTGTTCCTCTGATCCAGCACTGAGCAAGTTAGTCAATGCAGAATAGATTTTCTTGCAATCCCCAAAAACTGAACCATTTCCTTTTGGGCAATTCCCATTGTACAAGTCGCTTGAATTCTGGCCTTCAACACAAAAATCATATGATCATCTAAGACTGGCTGGGAATAGTACCTGGAAAATACCTGATCACATAGTATGAAAGTACGAGGACCAAAACCGGACTTGTTGAAATCACAACCTCTACAAATAAATTTTGGCAATTAGAAGAACATTAACATTTTCTTTGAATTGCTGAAATCTGAAACCAAAAAGTCGTACTAATTTAGTAGGGTGACATATTATCATTGAATAACAAACTTTTTTTTTTGTCATTGAATGATACAACATTCCCTGCACTTTTTTAAATTATACAGTGCAATGTGGTCTCAAAAAGCTTGTACATTGGAGGCTATCTAGTAGAGTGTAGAATATAATGCACAGGTCTTGCGAAGAGTAATTGCAATTTCATGTTTAATATCCTGATCGTGCATTGTTCGTGCAATATTTAGATATGAAGCCACTCAACTTCTTCTGCCTTTTTTTTTTTTTGGGGGGGCCGGGGGTGTTGGTGGTAAAGGTAATTCCTACTGGGAGGAGCCACTCAAGTTGCAGCCTGTTCTTGGGTGTGTGAACCGCCTGACGCTGAAGACATCCATGGATAGAAGGGAATTCTACGGGATCACTTTCTTTCTCAATAGTTGTCCTAATCTTGAGGTCCTCACAATTGACCTTACTACTTCAATCAGAATTTTTCGGGTGAGTTTCAAATTTCTTTCTTTCAATCATTTTTTTCTCGAGGGGTAATTTCAGAAATCTCCCCTGAAGTTTTTGATAGTTTCATTTAGCACCCTTCTCGGTTCATAGTGTCTATTCTGCAAAATTCTAACACACGTAAATTTGGCCATGGCTTCAGGAGTGCGACCCTCCATTTGGCATTGAGCATCATGCATTTTTGTATGCTGGACGATATCAACCAAACTACACTTGCTTGAGGAGCAAGTTAAAATCAGTTCATGTGGAAGGGTTTAAAGGGGAGCCAAATGAACTTTTGGTGCTGAGATATCTTCTCAAACATGGTAGGGTTTTGGATGAAGTGCACATTCACCTTTCAAAGGAAAGAGGTCCTGGTGGTGCAAGCATGGAAGAAACTTACTTCAACAAAATTCGTAGCTTAAAGAATTGCAAAGTAGCATCCAAAGGACTCCGGATATTCTTACGTCGTAAATAAGATAGAAGATGGAGATGTTGGCAAGCTTTTGCTCCTTTGGTGCTTAGAGATTTATATGATTATGATACAGATCATTAATCTCTACGCCCCAAAGGAGGAGATGTTGTTATTGTTAAGTGTCTCATTTTTAGCAGATTTGATGCGCATCAGATTTTTGGGACTTGTAATGTGTAATGTAAGTGTAAGTTATAATGACATGAATTGGACACTACTATTTTGTTGTGTCATTATTCAGTGTCAATCTCACTTATCACGTGATGGTAGAAGAAATTTAAATAAATAGCGCATGACAAATTAAATAAACGGCACATTTGAAGTAAATATAAAAATGGCATTGAATTGACACTGAAAGAGTGGAACTAAGGATCCCGTGTGCCAGCACGCAAGCATATATAAATCCATTCGAGAGGTTTCATTCCTTTCATATGCAAATACAAGCGCAAGTGTTTGCATAACGCCTACATCTAGCATTTTGTACTAGCGTAATGCCTACATCGAGAAGCTACATAGTATTGTGGGAATTACCCAGCTTTCACACATTATTCATTTTTCTCTTGACAATTGTACAGTAGAGCAGACACATTATAATTAATGTCTTTTATGATAAGGTTTCGGTCAGTAAAATCAGAATGAACCCATGAACGGTCTACAACTATTACTCCATCAGAGAAGAAATGCGGTAGCTTTGCCTGCATCCAAATCGTTCCCTTCCATGTGGTCAATATACACTAATCGTACATGTACAAGTGCTTGCGAGTACATTAGACGCAAAAGTGGTACAAGTCATTAGTATACCGGTGCATATTTTCTTGAGGAAATAAATGATATGACGGCTTCGCGAGGCTCGGACGGACTGGGAACCCAAAACTTGTTTAAGTATTGTAGTGAAGTGACGGTGATTGGATGTTTGTACTGACAGAGTAATCATCAGATTCACTTGCACTACCAATTAGTTTTCAAAACAGCACACACAATCTATTGGATTTGACTGATGGCATCCTGAGACTGTTGACTGCTAGTCCCGCTTGTGTCCTGTTTTCCCGCCCTTTCGAAAGGCTAAGAAGTAGCGCTGGTAAAAGTCCTAAATTTTAGGTAGGCCTGCAAAGCCTCAGAAAATGGGCAGGAAAGGAATGGTTGCCTCTTCCGAGGTTGATGGTCAAGATTTGTTAAAAATATATATATATAAGATTGATTTTATTTTATACATTATTATTTTTTACCTCATATATGAAATGTATAAAATTTTACTATATAATTACATATCGTATAAAATGAATTATATCATATGCAAATCAAGTTACGTCTTATATAAAATATATAAAATTGATCCGAATAAATTTTCTGTTAACTATTCCTGGCCAAAAATTCAATGAACCAAATTATGCTTCTTCATGTGGTAAAATGAAGTGATACAATCTAAGTCATGTTGTCTGAGAATCAGATATGCAAATTGCAAACTGTCCCTTGCAAGTGCTTGGGAGTCTGAAACGTGCGGAGCAAACGGAGAGTTTCTATCTAACGTCGAAAGATCGCGGGGTCTTTATCCTGGGTTTAATGTCCATGAGAGCATTCTCCTGTTATCAATTGGCTGGATGAATGTTCCTTGTGGGTTTCACCTTAAATTGCTCGATAGGACCGGTGTGTTCAGTGTTACCTCTGCGTTCGTGTTAAATTAAGTGTGCGTGTGTTTCTTCTATCGATAGAAAAAAAAAATGGAATTGAATACAACACGACCGAGTCAGTAGTTGGTTAGGTTTTATGGGGCCATTCTTTTCTCTCTCTACATTTCTATGACATAATAATATGTGAAACACAAAATGAAAACTCCAGGGAAAATCGCCTCATCAAATTAAATTGAATCTCTACTCACTTATTTCCAACGAAATAAATCTTCTTATGACCATTGATATATTTTTTGTCTTTAATATAGATTCATGGCAATGAAATCCTGTCTTACCAAAAAAAAAAAAAAAACAAAAGGAGAAAACCAATGACAATTGATGAAGAGAATCTAACACGAACCTGGGAGTGGGCCTACTTTAAAATGCTGGGAAAAAATGCAGACGAGAAGACAAAGTTTGTTAGCTAGCTAAATTGGGTTTAGGCCCACAATATGTCCCATGAGACCCGTATAAATTGGCCTCACCGCTCAACAATCAAAGTGGTGAGCAATGGGCTGAAAAGTCCAGATACAGCACCCAATGAAAACGCAAGGTTTCATAGATAACGGCCTCGTAGTTTGCCTCCACGGTTGCCTATTGACTACTCCTTTTACATTTTCGTCGATGGATAACAATTTCACCGTTTCTAATTCCAACAATTATCTATTTCTCATTAAGCGGAAACATTCATTGCATTGCATGGATTGATGACATTTTTGGCCCTCTTTTAGGAACAAAGAAACAACCCACCCATAAAGTCTAAGGACTTTTAATCTTCTACATACAGTGGAGAAGGCGAGAAGACGAGATCCCTAAGAGCAAGAAAAAAATAATAATTTTTTTGGCAAAAAAAAAAAAAAAAAAGGAGAGAAGAATAGAGAAAGAATTACAAGGGAAAAAAAAAAGAAAAAAAAAGGGCACCTAGATGGTTTGGTTGGTGTCAATCCTTGAGGTGAAACAAACATCTCAATTCTCTTAGCTATTGATCTGCATCGTTCATCCCTTTTCACCAACAAAGGAAGAGAAGGTTTTGGTTGCCCAAAAAAGGACCGGACAGAAGTATATATTTACAAAGTGTTTGGGGGCGAAAGCAAAAGTTAATAGAAGTCGATGATAGGTTCCCCAACCGTCAAGTTTCTCTCCACCGTCCATGGCAAGTTACAAAGCTTGGCCATAACAAATTTGAAGATCTTGTTGACATTGATGTTGTGGGTTGCACTGGAGAAGAAAAGGGTTGCCTTCATGGCCCTTGCATACGCTCTAGCCTGCACAGGATAGGGATGCATACAATTACTTACATTACATGTTGGGGCTTTGTGGAAAAAGAAAAAGGACCTTGGGTACGCGTAAAGAAAAGAAAAGAAAAGAAAAATGTTCTCCTGCCTTGACTCTAACGTAAACCCCCCAATCAAACAGAAGATGATGAGACGATGTTCTCTTCTTGCGTTGGAATGGACTTATCCACAACGCCAACGCGGAAAGAGAGGAGAAAAGTTCCATACTTCGACGCATGTTTCCCTTCCTCTCTTCTTAATTAACACGGACACTTGTCTTTGAAGTGACAATTTAAAGACTCTTCAAAATTTTCCCTTATTTTTTCCAAGGGTTCGACGTCTGGTACACGTGGGGTATGCCCCTCATTAAATATTTGATTTTTTTCTACATGCAGTTTGTCATGAAAAGTTATTAGCATGAAAGTTGGATCACATGTGAAATAGACAGCTCAGTGTATTACAGATAAGGAGCCTTGCGCGTGAAAAAAATGATACTCCAAGAGTGAATTTCAAGAACATTTTGTTACGTGATCGGCATGAATGACAGTCCATAAAAATAAAAAATAAAAAAAGCAGGTGAATTTTTGGACTTCATAAACAATTTTTTTTTTTCACCTGAGTTATGACAGTATATTGAATATCTGGTGGGAGCTGAACGAAATCATCAAACTTGGCCCCAATTAGGATAGGAATTGCAGTCTGCAAATAGTTTCAGATGAGGAGGAGGCATCAGCAAAACCAATCAAAGCAAACAATTAAACTCTTTCCATCCAACCAAGAAGCATCCCATCTCATACCATATACTCTTGAGATCATCAAGTTTTAATTATGAGCATTGAATTGAGTGTCTAATTATTGAAGCAACTCCAATTATCAACAAACAACTCTAATTATTACCTCCTTTCCTACCGCGGGAATTGGGATAAATCTTTAACTACAGGAGTTAATGCACGTACTGTTACCCCCCCCCCCCTTTTATCTCTACCTAAAGGAGTTATTGCCCTTTATTTTTCAGTTTTCAAATCAAAATAGAAATCATTTCCTTTATTCTTGATTCTTCTCTTCTCTAAAAGAAGGAGAGTGAAGTAAAGTACCTGATTCCACTTTCTTGCTTCAGTATACCATCCAATTACACTGCAATCACAGTACAAGAGAATTTTTGAGCAAAAGTAATGCATGGGAAGAAAGAAAGAAAAAAAAACCTTCTACATTCAAGCTTTTCTGTGTCCGCTGTGATAGGTAATAATATACAAGCATAGAAATGATGGCTGCAACTGCAAGCATATAAATTTTACCTGCTTAATGTACAACGACTGGTGAGGTCAAACATGAACAAAATTGCAACAGCATCTTTACAAGCAATTGGGACTTGATCAAGGGACCTTCTATCACCTATATATATATATATTATATATATATATATGTATATATCCAAAAATCTTTAAACTGAAAATTCACTCTGTTTAACCTAAAGCTGCACCAAATTCCAATACAAGAAAAAGATAAAAGAAGGCATTCTCACCAAACCAAAGGCAGCAGAGTCAATAATAATGATTCAACTTACCTCCAACATCCCATATTCTAAAAGCAATCCTTGCACCTCGAACAAATAAGATTTTATCCATTAAATTTAATCCTTTCATCTGCAAACCTCTCTTTTCTTGTTCATCACCTACATACTTTACCTACAACACCGAAAAGAACATAACCATGAATTTCTCGAGTGATTCATTAGCAGGGGAGGATTGGGGAACGAAAAGAAGGGCTCAAGACTGACATTTCTCTGCTGTAACCAAGAAATGGTTAAAGAAAATCATGAAGCACTTACCACAAAACTCGTTTTTCCAATCTGACAATCACCCAAAATGCTGATCTTCAAGCTGACTAAATCCGAATCACTATCATTATCAAAGCCCAGGCTACAAGTAGTCGAGGGCTGCTCCTGCCCCAACACGTTACCACCAGGCTCTAAAGCTTCCATGGACGAAGGAGGAGGAGAAGAGGACCTCTGAGAAAGCCTTCTGTACCTCACAGGCTTCCCAATAGAACAAGCAAGGATTCTCTCCCAAAGCAACCTAAAGAACTCCCTGAAAATGGACACTTTACCAGTAAACTCCACCTTATCCTGAAGTGAACAAATTTTCTGATT